AAGCTGGTGATCCATTGACAGATAGAGCTAGGAACAGAGAGCTGGGTTAGTTTGGTCTGGAGGAGTGTTGGGATGATGATGTTGAAAGCGGAACTAAAGTCCACAAACAGGATCCTCACATAAGTCCCTGTTTTGTCCAGATGTTGCAGGATGAAGTGCAGTCCCATGTTGACTTAAGTATTCACTTCCTGTTTGTTGCTGCCGTGTGTTTTGAGTTTTAGGTTCCCCAAATAGTGAGGTCAAAATATAAATTTAATGCAGGATCTAGAATAAATCTGATTGTGCTTAAAGCAGAAAAATGTAAAATAAATGAACAAAAACATTTTTAAAGTTTGGGCTCCTAATCACTCGCACCCAAAGCAGTTATTGTAAAAGAAAGGATCACAGATAATAGTTCCGATGTACTCTGCTTGACTGAAACCTGGCTAAAACCAAATGATTATATTGGTCTAAATGAGTCTACTCCACCTGTTACAGAAGGAAGGATACGAGAAGGCAGGGTCGGATCCAAGTGCAGCTTTATTGTGACAGCGAAGTTGAACACAGGCAAAAGGTAAACACAGGAACAGACTAGACTTAGAGTAAGGCTCAGGAAACGCTCTGCACGGAGCAGTCGCAACCAGACAGACAATCATAAACTTCAATCAATACTTCGCAGTGAGTGTGTGTGAGCAACATTTATAGTGCTCCTGATGGACAACAGGTGTGTGTGTAATTCATTATTTCCAGGTGCGGGGCTTGTGGGAAATGACTGACATTGTGACAGTGCCCCCCTGCCTAAGAGCGGCTTCCAGACGCTCAACCCAGACTTTCCAATTCATAGTCCACGATGGAGTCGACGGCGGGAGGAACCATAATGGAGAGACTAGAGTTTCGACCGATGGAGACAGAACCGAGGAAAGGGGAGTCCAAGGCGTAGGCGGAGCGCCGTAGAGCAGGGGCGACACTGAGTGTTCGGAGGGCTGTGATGGAGCTGACGGCTCTGGCGACCGAGGCGCAGGTGAGGATCCGGAAGGCCACGGTGGAGTCGGAGCGACCGAGAACCAAGACGGAGCCAAAGGGAGAGAGGAGCCCAATGGAGCCGGAGAGACGGAGGGACGAGGCAAAGCCGGAGGAGTGTAGTCCTGAGGGGAGGGCGGGTCAACGAACAACCAAGGCGGAGCTGATGGGATGAGAAAGCCTGGCGGAGTTGGTGGACTGACAGACCATGGTGCAGACAAGAGAACTTTGAGCCAAGGCGACATCAAAGGATCGAAGGACCGAAGTAGAGTCCAGGCCTCAAAGGCCGGAACCAGAGATCTGGGATGTAGGTGCAGCTGGAGGCTGTATGTCCCGAATCAAATCCCGACCGCTAGCCACCCCTGATGGATGACCTGAGGGACAGACAGAGAACAGCGGAGACAGGACGAAGAGCATGAGAGGAGGAGGGAGAGGGAGGTTGGGTGGGACAAAAGGGAACACCGCTTCATAATTAGTCTTTTTAATTCACAAATGAACAGGCGAAAAGTTCACACTCGGCCTCTTTAGCAATGACAGGACAGGCAAAGAGCTCATAAACGGCCTCCATAGCCGTGACAGGATGAGCAGTAAATTCACAGACAGCCTCCATAGCCGTGACAGGACAGGTAAAGAGCTCACAAACGGCCTCTGTAGCCGTGACAGGACAGGAAGTGAGTTCACAGACGGCCTCCATAGCCGTGACAGGATGGTCAGAGAGTTCACAAACGGCCTCTATAGCTGTGACAGGACAGGAAGTGAGTTCCCAGGCGGCCTCCATAGCCGTGACAGGATGGTCAGTGAGCTCACAAATGACCTCCATAGTCGTGACAGGACGGGCAGACAGATCAAAATCAGAGTTATCAGTATAATTCAGACAAGCAGACAGTTCAGAATCAAGAGTTACCCGCAGAATTCAGACAAGCAAACAGTTCAGGAATAGGACTCACCACCGTGAGGGGAGCTGGAGCATATGCCGTTTCCCTGAGAGGTTCTGCAGCAATGGCCGCCACCTCTGGAAGGTCCGTAGCGGGTGTCGCCTCCTCGGCTTCTTCGGTTACCAGCACTGAGAACACGGACACACCAGCCGCTCGCACTGATCTCAGCGGGGGATCCTCCACACTGGAGACCAACCTCGGGCATTTTGTGGTCAATTCAAGGGGAACAGACATGGACGGACACGGCTCTGGTTCCTTAGCTGTGACGGGATGAATCTCTGCAAGGGCCGCCATTACAGGGATAATCCATAAATTGGGCCAGTGATCCACCAGCACTGAGAACACGGACACACCAGCCACTCGCACTGATCTCAGCGGGGGATCCTCCACACTGGAGACCAACCTCGGGCATTTTGTGGTCAATTCAAGGGGAACAGACATGGACGGACACGGCTCTGGTTCCTTAGCTGTGACGGGATGAATCTCTGCAAGGGCCGCCATTACAGGGATAATCCATAAATTGGGCCAGTGATCCACCAGCACTGAGAACACGGACACACCAGCCGCTCGCACTGATCTCAGCGGGGGATCCTCCACACTGGAGACCAACCTCGGGCATTTTGTGGTCAATTCAAGGGGAACAGACATGGACGGACACGGCTCTGGTTCCTTAGCTGTGACGGGATGAATCTCTGCAAGGGCCGCCATTACAGGGATAATCCATAAATTGGGCCAGTGATCCACGAGGACCATCCTGGACAAGGTGAGCTTTTAGTGGCTCATTTAGTCCATGAGCAAAAAAGTCAATCAGCATAAAATCCGGCAGGTCTGCAAAGTGTGCAATGTCTATAAAGGTCTGGATATGGTCCTCGAGGGTTTGTGCTCCCTGTCGTAGACGGACCAGTTCTTTTGCCAACTCCACCCTCAATCGGAGCGGTCAGACACGGCTGCTGGATCCTCGGGGGCGAAGTATTCTGTTATGGAAGGAAGGATACGAGAAGGCAGGGTCGGATCCAAGTGCAGCTTTATCAAAAGTCGAACACAGGCAAAAGGTAAACACAGGAACAGACTAGACTTAGACTAAGGCTCAGGAAACGCTCTGCACGGAGCAGTCACAACCAGACAGACAATCATAAACTTCAATCAATACTTCGCAGTGAGTGTATGTGTGTGAGCAACATTTATGTTCCTGATGGACAACAGGTGTGACTCATTAATTAGTTTGTGCGGGGCTTGTGGGAAATGTAGTCCATGGTGAGAACTGACTGACATTGTGACACCACCAAGCTACTGTTATAAGCATGAGCCCCGTCAGACTGGTCGTGGCGGCGGTGTTGCAACAATACATAGTGATATTCTTAATGTTACTCAGAAGACAGGATACAGGTTTGAATGAATGAATGATGCATTTATATACATCACTGGGTCCACTCATCGTTTTAATCATATGCTAGATTTAATTATATCGCATGGAATTGATCTTACTGATATAGATATCGTACCTCAAAGTGATGATGTTACTGACCATTTCCTTGTATCGTGC